TTAGCTTCTTTGTTCCAATGAAGTTTGTCTTTGCATGTAAGATATGTAAGAGAAGCCGTAACTTGAGAAAATTTCTTGATGAAGATCCAAGAACAATTAATAAAGCCTAAAAAGCATTGCACATCTCTTATTATTTTTGAAATCTTTCAATCTATAATAGTTTGAACCTTCTTTGGATCCATGATAAGTTCTTTGTTGCAAATGATATATCCTAGAAAGTCAACTTGAATAATATGAAATATACACTTTTCCAACTTGGCATACAATCCTTCATCTTTAAGTTTCTATAACACACAACAAATATGAACTTCATGCTCTTCTCTGTTCTTAGAATAGATTAAAATGTCGTTTAAGTAAAAAACAAAAAAATCATTTAGAAATTCACAAAAAACATCATTTATAAGATGTTGAAAAGCAGCTAGTATATTTATGAGTCCAAAAAGTATGACATTATATTTAAAGTATCCATATCTTATTCAAAATATAATCTTCTATTCATCTCCTTCTTTAATGTGGACCAAGTACTATGCTTATTTTAGATCTACTTTTGTATAGGTATTAGCTTGATTTAGTTGATCAAGAAGTCGAGATATCAAGGATAAAGAATACCTATTCCTAATCGTAATCTTGTTGAGTCTTCAATAATCTATGCACATTTGTAAAGATCCATCTTTTTTTTTCATAAATAAGATAGGAGCTCTTATAGGAGATTTTCAATGGCATATGAAATTCTTAGCCAAGTTCTTATCAATATAATCTTTGAATTCAATCAACTCATTTCATAATAAATTGTAGAGTGGACCAAATGGTGGCTGACTTCCCTCTTTAAGGTCAATTGAGCAATCATATGGACAATGCTTTGAGAAAATATCTACATTCATCTTTTCAAAAATATCTTAAAAAACTTAATATTGACTTGGAATGCTACTTGAAGTCTTTCTATCATTAAAAATGGATGTAGCATAAGTAACAAAAGACAATCCTTCTTTTGCAGCATGGAAGTTTTTGTGCCTACAAATATGGATTTGGCTACATTAGACTCATGGTTTTTTACAAAACTCTTAATAATGCTCTAAAAAAATTCAAGTTTATAAGAAATTTAATCTATTAGAAGATTATATTTTTCTAGCCTCGATAAATCTAAAATGATTGAATTAGAGGAAGATCTAATTATATTAAAAATTATGCAACTATTATGACCATTTATTGCTCCATCTATAGGAAGTGTTTTATAAGTAATATCTCTAGAAGATAAAGAACAGAAATTTATAATTTCTATATGTATAGATTTAGTTTTTTGTACTAATGGTATTCTATAGCTTTTAACAAACTCTTCATCTAAGAAACAAGTGGAAACTCTTGAATCTATCAAGGCAGAGGCTTTGTAATTATTAAGTCTTAAATATACATCTATTATAAAATAAAGAGAAGATTTTGAAGAAAAGCTTTTCTACAATATAAACACAGTCTTTCTTCATGACAATGAGTCTTTTTTTTTTTAGTAAAAAGTTTAAAATGTATTGCATCAATTTGTATATCTTCTACTTTCAAATATTTAAATTGAGAGGTCATCAATTTTGTCATTGAATTGTAATAATATGAAGGTTTTCATGTGTGATTCTCAAATTGAAATTCAATAAGCTAATTGTCACACTTCACAACAAAGTCAATTGTTTGACTCCATGTCTAAAGATCCAGTAAGTTTAGCATCAATTTCTTCATCTCATATTGTAATATGTAAAGAAAATGGTTGATAAAGGCAGCATCATCTTACTTAACATCAGTCGCTAATTCTCAAAATTATGAAGCATATGATATCATTGATTGATTGCTTTATCACAAGATATGAATCTTATTAGTTGCAACACAAATTCCATCATGTTTTTTATACGTAGATCAAAACTTTGCCAAAAAAGTCTTCAGATTATCCAATATTGAATCTTATCATTCAAGAAAAGATGAAAACCATGATAATACTAAACTTGAAAAGAGTGTATCAATGAATCTAACTTGTGATTCCATCATTGCATAGCTTTGGAATTGAAGTTCAATTACAAATTATATTTAATGGATATATCCTCAAAATTTGAATCTTCTGCCATCAAATTTCTTGGATAAGTCAATTCTTGGTTCTTTAAAATAAAAAGGATGTTCTACTATAGGAGAAGGGATGTAATTTGGTGTAAATATTGAAGCAGCTCCAATCATGTCCATGTCTTCAATTTTTGCCATTTTTATTGTTCTTTGTAGAGATAAACTAAGTTGATGCATTGTAAGCATCAACTCTCTTAATTACTCTTATATTTGTGTCATTGCACTCTTCATTTCAAAAAGCTTTGCCATGATAATACTTAGAAAAAAAAAAAATATATATATATATATATATATATATATATATATAATATTACTCAAGACAAGCAAAAGAAAAGATTTGAGAATAAAGAAAATACTAAGAATAATATTAGTTTAGAAGAGGGTAATCTACAACTTCTAATACGCTCATGTTTTATGAAGAAAAAGAGGTAATTCACTCTTAATCAAAAGAAGACAAAGCTCTAATATTATAAGTGTACTCTTTTCAATCTGTCAAAGACATGAACTAAAAGAAGATGCATAAATTTGTAAAATCCATATAAAAAGAAAAGTAACAAAATAAAAATAAAGAAGTATGTATATTAAAAGAAAAGTAGAATGGCTATTCTCAAAAGACAAAGAAACTAGAGACTTCTTTTATCTAAACTAGAAGCAAGAAAGGAATTGATAAGAGTGAAGAAGGCTTCACTCTTGCCTCTATATATACTATCTACCTAAGATCTATGTGGTGACGTTCTATAACACCTCCAAAAATGTGTTGACTTTATATGATATGTATCTTGACTTGCAAGGCAAGTTTTCTATATGGGTACCACATAATTAGCTTGTTCTGCAAGCTACCAACACATGTGGCATGTGATTAGCTTGTTGACCAAGTTTCTAACCTACCAATAAACTACAAACACATATAAAGTCAAAACTGTATCTAGGAAACTTCAAGGAAGCTCTTCTAGAAGATATTATGAAATTAATCTACTTTTACCTACTTCTATTTATTTATATTATCTTGGTAATAATTATAATAGATATATATTCATGACAGCAAATCTACCTTTGAATCAAAAAATAAATAAATAAATCCTATTATCAACGCTATAATCTTTTGGAGAAATAATCCTTTATACATAAAGATTCAAGATTTAAAATCTTTCACAATTGGTTATATGTTTCTAAGAAGCTTTTATAATCTTCTAGAAGTTTTATATATATATATATATATATATATATATATATATATATAAATAGAAAAAAATTAATAAAAAAAATAACTAAATTCAATTTTAATTTATAAACATCTTAACAAAGTATACAAAAAATATCTTAATAACCATAAAAATCTAATCATATATCTTAAAATCTAATAAACATTTTTTTATTATTTAATTATTAAAATCAAGAATTCATAAAGAATTATTATTAAAACTAATTCTTAAAATAAATTTTAAAATAATTCTAGTTCAATGTATATTTAAACTTCTAAATTAATCTAAAAATAAATTTATTATTCCAATGAAACCATAAATTTTAAAACCTCAAATTCTTAATTATAAATCTCAAAGAAAACTCTAAATCTTCTATTAAATCCTAATTTTAATTTAGATCTCAAATTATAATTTTGAATACTAGAAAATGTCAAATTAAATCTTTAAACTTGTTTCTATTAAAAATATATTACTAAAGACATCTTATTAATTTTATTTTATTATAAATAAATTTATTAACTTAATTGCTAAATATTATATTTACAAAAAAATCATATATCAGTTTTTTAGAAAATACTATCTTTAGTAAAATTAATTAATTTTCTTGGAAACAATAGGCTATTAGAAATTATTCCTAAATTAGAAAAGATAGAAATTTAAAATATCAATTAATTTAAATAAATATTTAGACAAGTTTAATTTTTTATATATATCTACTTAAGTTAGAAGTTTAAAGGAAGTGAAAGCATTCCAAGTCCTGAAGGTGAGAATGGCTTACAAGTAGTTATAATTCGAATTAATATTGGTAGTTTTAATAAAACAACAAATTATTAAATTCAAATTGGAAACATTCTAAGTTCAATGAACTCTTTGTACCATGTAAACTAACCTCTATAAGTCATTCTTTAGTCATGCCAAATTCACAGAGAGCACAACAATTTATTCATAAGAATGTCTTACTCCTACACAATTAATTGCTTGTTGCCCACACTCAAGAGCAACAGGCAAGGTTCGTTATCCAACTTTCATCCCGCAAAAGTAATGATTTATTGGCCAATATTCACCTACATGAAAATAATTTTAAAAAATCCATCAACAATCTTTTAGTCTTCTTTCCCCAAATAAATTCTATGCTACTGTCATTTAAATTCTCATATCCTGTATGTACCGATCTATGTTTTATCCACATGACTTTCACTGCACTTCAATTAAATTTCACAATTTTGCACTTTTACTTCTATTAACAAATATTACTTTATATTAATTACTATCACTTATTCAAAATCATCTTGTTAGTATTAAAATCTTCAAATCTCAAATTACATCAAAGTACGCTCTAATCCACAACTTGAATCAGCTCAACTCACTACAATGATTCAAGTCAAAAAATCACTAATCTTTACGTTACATAATGATTGCTTGACGAGTAGATAAAAAATCAATTATATTTTTGGTTATTGAGATGTAGCATGAAAAAAACAAAACATCATTTGTGGTGCAACAAACCACTTCCAACTCGTTATCAATGAAACGAAACACAGATTAATCATTTGCACAATAATACTTTCCAGCATTTAGTCATACATTCCGTAGACATAGTAGCAACTCGTTCAGAAAACTCCCAATTGCAGAGTAAAACCAGATTCATCAAGTGGCTTCTTCAAATTCTTTCAAGCAACTGTAAAAAACAAAAGCCAACAAAAGTGCTCACAAAGGTACCGTTACAGGTGTCATTGAAAGTATGGAAAAGTTCCAAGATAAAATCACATGAACCATAAAAGCCAGATTATTTGGATCGTGACCGCAGAATTTTCACCAGTCACTAATTTATAACCTACAATCGTCCAACTTCACAAGCTGACATGGCATAACAACAAACAATGCCTTGTTAACTCCGATTCGACACAAACTCTATAACATCTAGGGGACTCGCTCTAAACCAACAGGCCTAGCTCAATGAGTCAAAACTAACGATCTAAATTAGGTCCAGAACAATTTCATAACCATTGAAAAACCAGCAATCTTAGTGTCCATAGGAAGAAATATACACAACATTTTACTTCTTACTCAAATATCCGTATTCACAGATATATTGCAGTATCCCCATCCAAAACCTGAGGTCCCATAACAGCAAACACAAATATCAACTGAACATTGATACAGCCCACTCCAACAACAAAAACTTCACGGATCTCAAAGAAACAAAAAAAAAAAAAAAAAAAAAAAAAAAACTCAAAAATTCACAACACTTCAGAACAAGTGAACCTTATCCTATATTGTAATGGATCCCGATACTAAGTGCAAAACGTAGTATCAAACCAATGTCTACCGGCATAGCTGGAAACGTCTCGAAACAATTACCTCGATAAAAACGACCTTCCTTTAACCTAAAAGCTTTGCAACATCACTCCCCACTGTCACACTCAACATCCCCTCCTTGTCCACAGAAGCCCTCCGACACACCTCATCAAGCTGCGCTTCGTTCTCCTTCAACTTGTTCACTACACCCTTTAACACATCCTTCTGTACAAACTCGTCCTCCAGCTTAGCTACTGCCTCCTGCACCAACCGGAGCTCTGACGCCCCAGCCAAAACCAGACCTGCAATCATGCTTCCCAACTGCTTCGGAGCCAACGGCGCATCCATCGCCATGTCCTCCAGCCCTTCCATCACCATCAACACACCTCCCCGCAAGTCCCCGCTCGATATCACCCCCTTCGACTGCAAGTGCAACAGCAGCTTCAGCACCAAGTTGCACTCTTTCTCGCGCATGTCCAGGGCTGTCGAAATCGCGATCTTCACCAACTCCGGATGGAACCCTGGATTCTTCAGCTCTTGTACGCACAGTGCCGCCTCGTTCAAATCCACAATCGACAAGTACTCCTTCAACAGCGACTCCGACTTCTTCGTCAGCTCCGCCGCCGGAGCCCCACCTCCTGCAGCCGGTGCTTGGGCTGCCACTGCTGGCCGGACGGCTTCCCTCACTACTTCTGGCGCCTTCGCCACCTCCACCGCTGGCTTCGCGGGAGCATTGCCCAGCAATGCGCTTGGCTTCCCCATGAACCCGTACCCACCGCTGCCTTGCGGCAGCACCCTCGCACCCACGCTGCTCGTCCGCATCGACGGAGAACCGTAACGCCCCTGATGACCCATCGCTCCTGGCATTCCTCCGCCCATCGGACCGCCCACCCCACCAAATCCTCCGCTCCCCGGCATCGGCAGCACTCCCGTGCTTTCCTTCCTGCTCCTCCTCCCCATGCTCACCGTCTCCCATCCGTCCGCCTCCAATCTTGGCCCCATGAAGCTCCCCATCATCGGACCCCCGCCCATCCCCCCTGGTGCTCCGGGCATTCCCCCTGGTGCTCCTGGCATTCCCGCCATCCCGGGCATTCCTGGCATGCCCGGCATCATGCCTCCCGACCCTGGCATAAACCCTGGCATCGCAGCTCTCCCGTTCCGCAGCGCCATCATCCCCGGCCGTAGTCCCAATTTCGCTTCCGCCTCCGCGTGGATCTCGTTGATCGTCTTCGCCTTCATCTCCTCCCGCCTCGGCACCCACTTGTTCGACCTCATGTCCAGGATGTCCCGCACCATGAACCGTATTCGGGATGCCAAATTCTTGCTGTCCCCGATCACCTTCAGCCGCGCAAAGTACGTGTCGAACGCCATCTTCGACTTCGCACTCTCCTCCAGCTGCTTCCCCACCGTCGTGAACAGGTGGCACAGCGCCTCCACGTTCTCCTCTGCCGGTATGCCCTTCGGATCCTGCCCCAGCAGCTCTTGGATGCACGCATGCACGATCTTCTCCGGCAGCATCTTCTGCTTGAACAGCTCGCCGATCAGCTTGATGTTCCCCAACGTCCGCAACTTCACCTTCTTCTCCTTCTCGTCCCGCTCCACTGCCTGCTCCGCCCGGGTCAGCTTCTTTATCTCCTCTCGCATCGCGTCCGCGCCCTCGAACTCCTCCTGGCACGTGTTCAGCAACACTCGCCTGAACGTTATCGGCTTGTCTCCAGCTTGCTCGCTCGGAAACTCCGGCAGCTCCTTGCTCAGCTGCAAGCACAGCCGGGCGTACATCGCACAGAACGTCGGCTCCAGCACCGCCTTGTCGAAGATGAGAGAAATCACGCCCTGCAGTATCTCTGCCGAGCTGATTCCCGCTTGCATCATCTGTTCCGCCAGCAGATCGTACTTCTCCGGCGTCAGCTTGTTCAAAATCCCCTTCACCGTTCGGTACACCTTCTCCTTCTCCGATTGCGCTCCCCTCCGAGCCGACCACGGATTCGCAGCCTTCACGATTGCGGGCAGCGGTCCTGACGCTGCGCTCTCCTGCTGCCGCTGCGCCTGAGAAGAATTCGATTGCTCGCGCGCACCTCGGTTGTCGCTCCTATCACTCCTATCGCTCCTATCGCCCCTGTCATTGCGCTGCTTAGGGTTTCTGTCTCTCTGCTGATCGCGAGACGATGATCTATCCTCCTGCGCGACCGTGGGTGCAGGGATCGGCGCTCGGCTCTTCCAATCCCTGTTATCAGGCTCCGCACCTCCGAACGCCGGCGACTGGGGCACATCCCTAGGCTCTCTCCTGATCCAGTCGTCCGCACCACCGCTGTTGATCAACCCATCGATCCCCGAGTTCACCAGCTCCTCCGGCGCCTCCGTGCACTCATCCTTGAACTGCAACAATCGATCCCTGCTGTACCGGATCCTATCGCGAGAGCTCCTCACGGACCCAATTTCCGGGGGCACCCCAACAAACCTCCGCACGCTAGGGTTCCCAACACCTTCTTGATGCGTTCCTCCCTGGCCGACGTTGCTGCTCTGCTGGGTGCTACTCAAGTTGCTTCCTCCTCTGAAAGGCCGAAATGCGACTGACCTACCTCCACCCGGCCGCAGAGACACTGACGGCGCAAGCATCGACGTCGAGGAGGCGGTGTGAGCGGCGGCATCCATACTCATAGCTAGCCTACAACTCTTCTGAATGCACAGTCACTTCTTCCTTTAAGCAGACTCTTGTCCCGCTTCCCTGTCTTCTCGTGATCCTTGACCTCCGAGCTCCGACCGCCAGGCGAGCTTCACAGCTCAGGAGCACAGACTGCTCAATGAAAGAGCCAAGTAGCTCTGACTCTGGTCTGAATTTGAGTCGGCAACCCCGTTGCACCCTTACCTCTTCTCCTACCCCTTCCCCTCCCCGCCGATGCTGCGAACTTCTCAAGTCACACTGCTCGGGAGGAAACCCAGTATATCTCCGGGGGTGGGGTTCTGGTATATCGATTGCAGAGAATTTTCTACTCTACCATTCCTGTGAGCTGTAGCTGATGCCCAGATGGAAAGTTCCTGGAACAGTGGATTGAGAAGGTTGCTCGTTATCGAAACTCCGTTCCCTTCCAGCTTTCTCCGTCCCATCGGCCTGTCATGTGCAATGTCCTCATCATCGGCATGCAAAACTTTGTACCACTTCTTCATTACCACTCTCATGAATGTCAGGTGGTACTGCTGATCCAGCGTTGTTGACATTGTAGCTAGTTTCATGCACACTCCTGAACCCTAATACTCGGTCAGGGTAACCTTTTTTCGGGGAACTCGGTAACTTCTTATTGTTGACCTAATTGACTAGGGCGACACGCATGCCCTTGATTATCTCATCGCTGGGGAGTCACATGCACAGTGATAATCTTTGCCGAGAATACGAAAGTGATAATTTAGTGTATATTCGGGCGGATGGATGTTCGCTGGTAAATGATGTGAATGTTGATGGATTTATCAAGTCCAACAGTGGTAAATTTTCAGACGTGAATTACGGGAAGCGTGATTTCCGCAGCAGTTTTGACCTTCTCTGTTTCGACTTGAATCTTAACAAGTGTTTTTTTTAGGCTCATGTGTTTAGAGAGAAGTAATGAGGAGCCTTTCGAGAGTCTATACTTACTACTTAGTTCTGACAAATTCAAAGAGTTGAACAGGGTGGACGCATGTACCAGAATACAGTCCTCTTGAACACAGTGTACAACCCCATCTCTTTAAAAGATTCTCATCTTCTGAAGGCAGGAGGCACCGCAAAAGACGACATTTGATGTTGGATAACTTCTCTTGCTGAACGGGACGTGGATGGTTTCATGCAAGCCCACATTAGTCTGACCTTATGTGCAGAGCATGATGAGCTGATTATCCTTACCTTCAAAAGAAGTATGTAATGCCTTGAAAATGATGTACATGGTTGGTTTTACATCACATATACGACAGTTCACGCTGAGAAAAAACCCTCTTCAATACCACTACAAAACGTGTCATGAATTCGTCAAACATTAATAAATCAATAAAAGCAATTCATAACTAGACGGTGACATCCCTATCGCAAAGACACACTTGCAGATCAGGATGAAATTATAATTGAGAGGCCTTCAAATTAAAAATTACAGTGACCACATTCAATGTTCCTTGAAACCTGATTGATCTACAGAGTGTGCACTTATAAATTTATCTAGAAAGCAAGAGCTTTCTTATAGAGGATAACCTACACTAACAATTCATTAAGTTCATTCTTGTACATGAAATTCGGTACTGGTAAGCGGCTATTTGAGGGGATTGTTACAAAGCTGGAAATCAAATGCAGAGAGGACGTATCAATCGAGATTCTGATACATCTACTCTGAAGATCTTGCTTTCCCTCCTTTTGAAATTCCATGAGTGCCAGAATGCAAAATCACAGCCCGTCTTCACAGCCAAGAGAAAAGTCCTGAAGTGAGACTTGAATACAATCGCCGTAGCTGCCACTGCCTTCAGAAGTGCGAACCATGATTTTTAACGTCACATATACCCAGCGGAGGGAGATTACGGGACTGCTGGTATTGATGTCAACAGCTGATATTCTGATTCTCTACGCACGACACAGAGCATGGAGATGATAGCCTCAGCCTGACTTGATCTTGGCCAAAGAATGGCGAGAAGATTTCCAAGACTCTATCCAACAGAAGTAAAAGATGCTGAACTACAAGTCACCCAATGCACCTAATTCGACCAAACATGAACCAATCCATGTCGATTCCCAGTATATATCTCATTTCTTTCTTCATCATAAAATAGGGCAGTAACATCCTCAAGAGCTTCCTGCACTGAACTTCTTATGTTTGAAGAATTTGCACGTGCACGGGGGCTGATCCTGACACTTGGATCATCTGCCCTAATCTTTGCAAGACACTTCCCAGTCAAGATGTTGCTGATGTTGATGGAACCAACTGCATAGACAAACAAAAGAATGCGTCTTACATGAACAAGGTAACATCTAGGAGAAAATTTCATTTATTCCAAGACACCGTCACATCAAAGGGGGAATCGTCAATTTCACTCCATATAATAAATCAAAGGCACTGCGAGTTTCATAACAAACTCACAATTGACTAAAAGAGAAACATACCTTCCTCGACAGAGTTATCTGGATGAGCTTTGCAGTAAGAGATGATAAGATCTTGTTCACTGGTTATGTATATGTTGTTTGTGTTGCAATCCGGATACCACAGCAAGTGATCTTCAAATGAGGTCACCAGCTCTCCTCTAAAATTCCACACTGCTACAGTCCTGTTGCGGAAAGTGAGAAATAACTGATTCTCGTACAGAAAAATAAATGCCGAGGGTGTCATGAATTCTGTCCGGCTGACTTCTGTGAGTTGAGAATTCCTTACCTGCTTAAACGTTAGACATTAGTGCCAGAAAATATGCGAATAAATAACACCACTCAACTCAACTGCCAAGAGCTTATCACGTTATTATAAACACCCTCGTTGGCTTTAAAACTTGTCCACTAGAAGGTGGAGTGATCTTCCAGCATGCGCACAGGCAAAAGTAGTCAACTCAGCGTAATGCATAACCTATCCAAAGACTGCAGCATCTTTTCTTAATAAAGAGGGAAAGTTTTTTAGAGATTGAACAAAGGATGAGTAGAGCATTTTGAATGTATGAAACTTACATCAAGAATCTGAAGATTCTCATTTTCTTGCTTGACAAGCAGCTTTTCATTGAACTGTTCGATGAAGTCAACTTTCTTGTTTCGATGTAGCAGATGATTGAAGGCCTTGAGAACCGACCCATCCTCTATCGAAAGTATCTTCAGTGGCACATGACTTTGTGCCCTGTCAAAAATCAATAACATAATTCCAGGGCTGGAAAAACAAAGCACGTGTTAGATAACCACCCAATTGCATAATAGCACCAAGTCTTCGAGGTCTGCCAGTTGGTTCTCCCAACTGGTCCCCAAGCACAGGAGAAAGTAAAAGATAGACACCTTATTTTGATTTCTTGCACATGCTCGTCAGAAATAGAATACAGCATTGTATAGTTCTTCAAATCGAACACCTTGTAGATTCTGTGGTTACAATCCCACATTTAATATTAATACTGGAAGATCAATCTCCACTACATTTCAAGCACAACACTCGATAAATATGATAATAGTTTCACATTGGGAACACCATGGCACCTACAGTCAGCGTTATTAGTGTGAGCATAGAAACTCACAACCTCAAACACCCGCGAGAGCAGTTATCGCTACTCAAAACAAAGATGCAACATTATTGCAACTAAAAATAATTACGAGAATAAGGCTAAATACCTGTCTTGAGCAGAGTATGTAAGGACCTTCCCATTAACATCATCAAACTCAACAAACCCGGGCCACCTGAGCGATTCTGATTCGAACAAAGGAAATCCAGCATCAGGCTGTCCCCTCCGGATGTACCTGAGAAATGAATGCAATCCATAACCAATCACATCGAAACCTAGGAATCCACCTCAAAGCAATAACAAGAATCCTATGTCGATGAGCGATAGTATTGCTTACTCAATAGGTGTTGTCCTGCACTTCAAAGAACTGAAGTTGTCAGAGGCATAAACAGACACAGTGATCAATGAGTCGTTATTCTTGTTGTAAAATAGGCTTCGAATCACTTCATCATCCCTGATATTGAGAAAGCATATCCTCTTGTTTGTATCTGTAAAACAAGGAACACACCATAAAGAAACATAACCGCATTACGAATGTTCTTACTCAATACAAACTTAAGACAGTGTATTAAACAAAACCCGAAGTCGAACCTCTACTAAAGGCAGCACAGATCCCGGAGTGCGTTAACGCGAACACAGTATCTCGAGCGGCCACAATCTCTACTATCCTTGATCTCTTCTTCAGGAACGGTAGCTTCAAAAAATGATGAGCCTTAGGGTCATGAGTATCAAATTCTTCCTGCAAGGAAGAAAAAACAGACAGAGATGTCAAGACAATTCAATACATATCTGATCAACAGGTTAACCGTTGAGGAGCTACATGGAATTAATGAATCTATACTTGTGCATATGCTACCACTCAATAACCGACTCCTAACAAAATGGGACGGAAGGACGAGCTCATGATATCACTTCAGAAAATGCAAAACAGCTGGACGAATACTAAAATTCCTTTAGAGACCTTAAAACTGTTGAAGCTAGATGAACTAGTCACATTGCCGAGGTGAAATACTCTATTGAAATCTCAAGAACCCTGACAGGAGCAGATGAAGTTGAACTACTTAGGTATCAATTGACATGAAAGTGACAAATCTCGAATACCAGACCAATCAAAGCTGCTTCAAGTTCCAGGCAAGCTTCAAATGAGCTCATTGCTGGTACTCTATCAAGAATCAAAAGACAACGCTTCACATTATAGCCGTTTTCTAGTAAGATAATACCAGAAAAAGAGCTAATTAGGTCAAGATAAAGTTCAATCGACAGTATCATGGGTTCCTCACGCGAACCAGAGAAAATCACATGCTACAGCTCACAACCATCTTGACAATGTTGCATGCTTAAAAATTCGAAGGTAGTCGGCAATAACAGAACGCATGATACATAAAATCTGTTGCGTCGAATCCATGGCCTCAAATTTTCAAACCTAAACGGCGCAAACATCATAGTAGATAAAGCAACCCCTAGTACGCATCTCTCGTTTTTCTCTGATTAAACCTAACAAGTATGTTGCCGAACAGAAAAAACGATGTTACAGAACATATGCCTCCATTTATACTCTCTGCATAAAAAAAAGCGTGTCAAAATGGATAAATCATATCACACTTTACTCAATGTCTACTAACAGACTTAGCTTCACCCCCATCCAGAGCCCTCAGTGGCTTACCAACGAGGATACAAGAAACATCCGTGGATGTAGTTGCTGTTGGGAAAGTCGACAACAACACAGAAGCTAACTAGTCACAACGCAATGCAAAGATTCGCAAACCAGAAGAGCAACCGACCTGCAAATGAAAGTTCCGAAACTTCTCCTGGGAATTTGTCCGGTTAAAAGCCCAGTTCCCTGCACGACTTATCTCCCGCTTCAACAGCTTGCGGACACAGTTCTTGGTATCATCAGGTCGAGTCCGCTTCCTGGCCACAATCCGCCGTCCGTACGTTGGCCTGGGGCTGCTCTGCATCCTCACCTTACTTACCGATTCCATTCCTCACACTCCACGCCACCGCCCACCACTACCGAACCGCCCTCCACAACAACCTTACCCTACCTGCCCTAGTCCTTCCCAACCATTTCCCTAGTGCTTGTTCTTCCTCCACTCACTCTTAGAAACTCACTTCAAACGCTTCTACTCCTCCACAATTCTATAAATTCCCTTGCAACGTCTCGCTTCAACGCAAGACCACGAAGAACCACCCGCAACCCACCACAGACCAACAACTCTCTCCATCACCCAAAAGGCAGCCAAAACGATTCAGCGGGAGCGCAACAAACCTCTCTAACACTTAGGACTACTCTTCCAACAGAATCGCGTAGACCTTGGGAAACAAATGACGAATTCGTGAGAGTGGTGGAGGAAGATCCTCAGGAAACCCTCGGCCAGCGAAGCCCCTGCTTATTGCGCTACGGGCTCTCCCGACACCATTGTCCTTGTTTCTCTTACATGCTTCAGTCCTCCTCGCTCCCATGGCCCCAATACCGCATGTCTGGAACCCTATCTCCGCATCCGTGCCCACGCCCGTGGCCGCTTCATCCTATTTGGATGGCATCGCCGGGTCCTCCTCAGGTTTGAAATTTGAAGTGGGACCACGCTCTCCATTTCTCGTTCTCACTGTTCCCGCGCTGATTTTCCACCGTGGTGGTCCAGCTCGGCTTCCTTGGATTTGGCGCCAACTTGGTTGGTCCTAGTTTCTTGCTCTTTTTACCGCATTTAGGGTTTTCACTTCTGCTGCTTTTGCTTCTTACTGTGACAATCACTCTATCAGAAATCATGAATTGAGGTATTCTGATCATAATTTGATCCCTTGATAGCAAAATGTAATGAGTTCTACTATTTTATTTAAACATGCCTACTTTGTTTAACTCCATTATAAGAATTTTGTTTCTCTATTTAAAACACCACTTTATGATCAGAATTTTATAAATGTTCAACTTCAGAATCTCCCAGCTTAAATATTTTGTACAATATATTTCCTTTTAATGTATTTAAAATTCCAGAGTAAAAACCATGCATTCTCAAAATGTGATACAAAAAATTATCAAACAATCATACATACATGAATATATACATGCCTATTTGAAAAATATTATAATACTTGTGATGTAATAATTCATAATTTTAATAAATGATTTTTTCAAATAATAACTACTTTTGTGTGCTAAAAAATCCTAGAATACATAGAATTAATTTGTTGTGACAACCAGTCTATAGAAATAAAATAAGAAAATAGATTTTATGCTACAACTTAAAACTGTATAATTTTTTTAATTTATGCTGGTTTACTTTGATTTTCTTAAACCTCGTTTTATGTCCAATTTACATATATTATCAAATTATACGTAATTTTTAAAAAATTAAAAAAATTATTCAAACTAATTATTTTGAAGGAATATATACATATATATATATATATATATATATATATATACTTATATATACACACATACCTATTTAGACAATAAAAAGGAAAAAAAAAAAAAAAACAAAAAAAACAAAACAAAACAAAACAAAACAAACATATGTTATAAATTTTTAAAGTTTTACATGCTTCAACAGTACCAAGTTGTAAATAATAGATTTAAATTGACTTGTATCATATAAGACGTTTTACAAAAAAACTTTTACATTCAAAACATAAGCAATCTCACTTATAAAATTATAAATGAAACTGATTTTGCAAGAATTTAAAATAAAATTAAATAAAAAACAATAAATATTTCCAATATAAATATGCTGGATTTTTAACATGATACAGTGATATAATGTAGCTTCTTAAAATAGTTTACAAGGTTGCAAATATTTCCTAACTGAAGAGAAAACTTATTATAAGTGTAAAGCTTTATTTTAATTAGTTTTTTTTTTTTTTTTTTTTTTTTTTTTTTTTAATCAAACAATGGTCTTATTTCAATTTAGTATGTGTAGTGAGTTATACTTATTTTTATTTTTATTTTTATTAGATAACGTTATTATTGGCCAAATCAATGATCAGAAGAACAATAAAGATACAATTAATGTTCATATATAAGGTACTTAAATATTAATACAACATGTAATGTAGATCATTTATGATGCATTATTAGACACATTTTTTTATCTTACAATATACAAGACATGTAATATTTTATTACTGCATTAAGAATGAGAGAAAATGTTACAACATGCAACTGGTGGATTTTACAAACCACATGTGTTATATTCTTCTTTTGTTTATTTATTTTATTATTATTATTTTCTTGTTACGACTAGTCTTTTCTATTGCTTTAAAAATCAACATCAATCTGCATTACCCTTGTTTTTCCAACTTCCTAAAATTATTAAAACTAAATTTGTGAACAAACCTCTCATATTCATCTCTTGTAAACACCTTTGTTGATACATCCAACAGTATGAGCTCTATCAGACAAAAAATTCAAGCATATCATTCTATTTTTCTAATTTTTCTCTCCTTGAATAATATTCTTTGCAAGAAATATGCATTACAAATATGATAAATGATTTTATTTCTTCAACTTGAAGACATCTTAAAAATACCACAAACTAACAAAGTTATGTTGTTTCTTTAGCACATTGGCCAATGATTATATATTATGGTTTGCATATAAATATACAATACTTAGATGTTGCTTGCTATTCCATGTAATAAATTGATTTTCAGCAATAAAAAAATAAAAAATAAAAAAGAATGCATTAAGTAACTGCCTTGCAATATTTAGGAACTTTTGGATAGTCTGCATTGAAAAAAATATATATATATATATATATATATATGATTTGTATCCTTATTTTCTAATTATATATCTATCTATCTATCTATCTATATATATATATATATATACACTTTCAAATTTATCTTTAAGAAAATAAAATCCTATAAACTTAACTAATATCTCTATTCTTGATTTGTGAGAAATCCCTACACAAATCAAATATGCAATGTCAAGAAAAAAAACTTAATTATTTTTTTACTTGTGATAGATTTTGTACAAAATATAAAATATGAAATTTTGATAAAATGATCTACTATTATAAATATAAAATCATATAAATCTAAGATTAAGAGATTCATGATAAAATCCATAGAAACAAAAATCTATGATTGTTCCAAAATAAGTATTGGTTGAAGAAGTCTATAAGATCAATGATGAAGAGTTTTTGATCTTGAACAAATATGACATAATTGTACAAAGTCATTAACTCCCTTCCATATTTGATGCCACCAAAAATCTCTTAATATCAGTTCTAAAGACTTATTGTATCCAAATGTTTGGCTATTGAAAGTCATGAGAAGCTTGAAAAATACATAATTATACTTTGCCTTCTAAAATATATGATTTTTCTTTAGAATAGAATAGATTATTTTAAAACTTGAATTTAAAAGTATAATAAAATTAAAAAAAAATTCTATGTATTATTAATAAGAGGATTAAAGGACATACTTGATTGAATTTTCTTAAGAAAGGTTGAATCAATAGTCAATCTTAATTTTATTCCTTCAAGATAAAAATGCTTTAGTTTTAAGAGATTCATTTTTTGTTGATCAAAAGATAGATTTCTTTCTTTTGGTATAAGATAAACATGTCTAGAAGAAATATTTAACAAACCTTATTATTTTTTTTTGATGCATAAGTAATCTTAAAATCAAATCTTGATAAAGACATGCTCTAACAGGCTTGACAACAATTTAAAACATGTACTTATATAAAATATTTGATATTCTTGGAATCCATATATATATATATGATGATTAGAATAAAAATGCCTTCTAAATAATGATGCTATTTTAAAAATAAAACCATAATTATATGAAGTTTTTTAGCATAGATTTCTTAGTTAATCTTGGCTGTTAAAAATATCTTAGAATAAAAAACTATTGGATAGAGCTTATTATTTACTTCTATTTGTCACAAAACAATACCTATAGGAAAGTTTGATACATCTAATTTTATGAAGAATGCCTTAGAAAAATTGGCACAATACAAAATTGGAATTGAAATAAATATTGTCTTCAAAGCTTTAAAAGATACTTCAACATCTTTGTTCCATTCAAGTTTATCATTACATATCAAATGTATAAAAGGAGTTGCAACTTCAAAAAAGTTCTTAATGAAGATCTTATAATAATTGGCAAATCTCAAAAAATATTGCATAGCTTTGAATATTTTTGGAATTTTCAAATCTATGATAGTCTGGATCTTTTTTGGATCCGTTATAAGTTCTTTGTTGGAAATGATGCATCCTAAAAAATCAACTTAAGTAGTATAGAATACGTACTTTTTCATCTTAGTATACAATCATGCATCTACAAGTTTTTGTAACACAAAATAAATATGAAGTTCATATTCACTTGTATTCTTAGAATAGATTCGAATGTCGTCTAAATAATAAACAATAAAATCATTAAGAAATTCATTAAAAATATCATTCATGAAATATTGAAAAGTAGTTAATATATTTGTAAGTCAAAAATACATGATATTATATTTGTAATGTCCATAATTAATTTGAAAAGCAAACTTCTATTTATCTCCTCTTTTACTGTGGACTACATTGTGTGCTCTTTGTAGATCTATTTTTGTATATATCTTTGCTTGATTGAGTTAATCAAGAAGTCTTAAAATCAAAAATAGAAGATACTTATTATATATAGTAATCATATTAACTCTTTGATAGTCTACGCACATCTACAACGATCCATCCTTTTTCTTCACAAATAAGATAAGAATTCTTATTGGAGATTTTAAATGGCATTTGAAGTTTTTAGCCAAGTTCTTGTCAATATATTTTTTTTAGTGTAACCAACTCATTTTACAATAAGTTGTAGATTGGTCCAAATGATGATTGAGCTTTTTCTTGCAAATCAATTTAACAATCATAAGGTGGATGCTTTAAAAGAATATTTATATCTTTCTTTTTAAAAACATCATAAAAATCTTAATACTGAATAGGAATATTATTTAACATCTTTTGACTATCAAAAATAAGTGTGGCTTATATAACAAAAGATAATCTTTTTTTTGTTGCAATAATAAAAGCTTTTGCATATAGCAATAAGGATTTGAATGTTTTAGGCTTATATATTTTTATTTGACTAATGGAATTTTGGATCAAACTGTAAGAAAAATTGAGGTTATGAGAAATCTAATTTATTCAAGAATTATATTTTTTTTAACCACAATAATCCTACAATAATTGAAGTGGATGAGATCTTTTTATATTAAATATTACTACATAATAATGATCTTTAATTGCTACATCTAAAAAAACAATCTCATAGGTAATAACTCTAAAAGCCAACAAATAATCATCTATAATTTCTACATGTACAAAATTAATTTTTTTAAATAATAATATCTCTTATTTTTTAAAAAAATCTTCATCTATAAAAAAAGTTAAGGCTCTTGAATCTAACAAGACTAAGACTTTGTGAT